AACCACATGCCATACAACTTTATTGTTATTAATTTTGTTGGCAGTTAGCAAACAACAAAATTTCACATTTCTATACTTACAGAGTGTAAGAGAGTCCGCTTAAGACAAAACCCACCACACTAGAGAACCATTCAATCACTGCTAATAGCTTACACCTGCCCAGGTATCCTCACAAACCAGTTTAGTGCAGAAACCCAAACCAAGGTCCATGAAGTGCGACATCATAACTGAGCTCTGAGGGATTTTCGAGGACTAGCACTTATTGGAAACAAGCCAAAGCAGCCATTCAGTGCACATCAGACTTGCCTAACAAATGGCTGCATGGCGTGGGTCATTATAGGGGAAAATTCTGCAAGCCTATTTCCCAATGTTTTCGTACTGACTACTGATAAAATGTGGTTCTGTTCAAAAATCAACATCAGTTTATTTTGCACTTCTGCATTGGCTCTGGAGGTTGCTGCTTGCCATCACCTACCTGTTGAAAAATAGCTAAAGGCTCTCCAACAAGTTGTTAATAGGGATGTTTACATATGTTTCCAGCAATCGATGTGAGAGATCTTAATCAAAGCATGAAAAGTAGCTCTGTGTCCCTTTCTCCATTACATGGGAAAGCTGAAATAAACCCTTTAAAAAAAAATCAAGTATCAGTTCTTTTTCTTTTTGCTCCCACCTGTTTGTCAGGTGGGGCTAAATATCCCTCAGTTTGTTGTGTGTCACTAATGTGTAACCCTCATCTGGTTGTGGGAGGATTTTGCCCTTCCAGAAATTGTTATGTTAATTATTTTCTGGAATTTGAACACGTAAGATTACGAAGTAATTGTGAAATAACAGGTCTGCTCATTAGAAGAAAAGTAATATTTCAAATGAGAAGCTGACACAGACGTGTAACATTATGCCGTGTCCTCCTTACGAATGTCAGTACTGTATCTTATAACACCGCACGAGAGAGCAGAAATCCACTCTCGTTCAGTGATTTTGTATTTCAGTAACAAAAAAAACCCGAAAAAATCTGCTGGGTCACAACACCTGAGATCCCTCTAAACCAGGGATGGGCAAATTATTCTCCCATGATGCAACATTAGAAACTCTGATTGTTGCGACGGACCAACAGAAACGGAACCAATAAGCTTATAAAGAGATGAAAATTAATACTGAGCTGAACGGAGTTTATTTATTCTTAGTTATTAGGGAAAGTATATTTTAATTATCCTATATGGTAGTCTTTGTGTTGGGACTTTTGTAAACTCCTCAAAATACAGGGCAGTATTCTTTTGAAAATGAACATCACAACTTTATTTTACTACTAGGTCTCACTCATCCAGTGACTTTTTAAATTTAATTTGTAGGAATAATAAAGCAAACATTGTTTGACTTCCCTCAACTCTGTTAACTGTAACATATAATAAGTGTCTAAAGATGAGGCCACTTAAACTCATAAAATGACCAAAAATACATACATAAGTGGACACACTATGTATTTTTGGTCATTTTTGGTCACATTTAGTAATTTATTGGAGTAAAAATGGCATAAATGTTGCAAATTTAGCGACAATAAATCACCTGTGTAGACATAAATAGTTTAGATCAGGGCTCTCAAACTCCAGGCCTCGAGGGCCGGTGTCCTGCAGGTTTTAGATGTGTCCTTGATCCAACACAGCTGATTTAAATGGCTAAATGACCTCCTCAACATGTCTTGAAGTTCTCCAGAGGGCTGGTAATGAACTAATCATTTGAATCAGGTGTGCTGACCCAGGGTGAGATCTAAAATCTGCAGGACACCAGCCCTCGAGGCCTGGAGTTCGAGACCCCTGGTTTAGATGTTATAAACACATGAAGACACAGTGTGTCCAGGTTTCAGTATCCACAGATCAGCAGATCTATTACCACTTATGTTGATACATTGTGTCTATGCTGGCAACTAATGAGCATCAAAGAAACATTATAAACCCAGGTAGAAACACTGTAATATATCAAAAATATAAGCACATAGGGTAACCAGAGCCAAACAAGCTACACGTGGATCAGACTGTTCGTTTCTGTGGAACTATATCGAGGTCTGAAATGTTGATATATCTTTTACGATATAGGACTTTTAGAACAGTTATTCAGGTGAAAGTTTTGGCATTGATCACACGAGGAGCAATTATTCTGTATTTTGTACCAAAAATATTTTCCAACATCTTTACAAGAAACTCACATTAAAAGGCTTGTGCCCAAGATGAAAACAAACCAGAGTTGCTTATAATCCATCTGGTTTATCTTACCAAGTGAGCAAACATTTGATTTACACAACTGCTTTTTACCTTTACTGGATTACCATGATCTGCTTTTTTATGAATGCACGTGCCCAGTACCTAAAGATGTCGGATACTGTCTAACATTGTTCTCTATGTTTTATTACTGGCTGTGGAAATCATGTACATCACTCTGCCTTGTGAACACTTGTCTGTACGGAATATTGTATTTGTCTTTTACTTGTTATGTGTTATATTTGTTGTAACTTTTTCTGCCTTGTTGGTCACATTTCTCTTGGAAATCAGATTTAAAGCTCAATGAGATGTTTTATTTGGATAAATAAAGGATAATAAAAACTTGAAGTGTGTGTTTTCCAGTGTTCTTGTGTGATAGTCTTTGTACACTTTTGTGCATCTTTTATACCACAAAAAACTGTTCAACTGTCATTTCATCTGATTTTGTGTCTGATAATCATCTGTGGTATTAATGGGAAAGTATCCAAAAACCCTCACTTTGCGTGATTTATATATCTGGGAAAGTGGGAAACCTGGTTAATATCGTCACCAACCAAAAAGCTACAAGCCAAACAAACTCGGCATTTCCCAGCTTTCCTGTATTTATAACTTCCTGCTTTCAGGTAATCTTCCTATCTGTATGAGCTGTGTGAAGGTCGACACAATCACGATGGATGTTCAGAATGAGCTCCTCTGATTGGGTAACGGTGACATTTGGTAAGGAGGGGGAGGATTATAAATGCAGCGATGGCGGAAAAGTTTGTCGTTTGGTCGAGATTATAACGGTCTGAGAGCTCACAGGCAGCCAGCTCCTTCTAAAGCGCACTTTCTTCATTTGTTCCTCTCCCTCTCTTCTTTTAACCCAAGATGGACAGAATTATCCTCCAGCTTTTTGCAGTCGGATTTTGCTTTGCAATCGGTAAGTTAAAAAAAACAAACACACAAGTAAATATTCGATTTAATTGCAGCTTACCCGTTATTCGAATTATTCAATAAAAATGGGTTTTCTCTAAATACGTTTGAAGTGAGCTGCTACCTTCAAAGACTTAAGTTTGAATTTTAGCAATAAATGTTTGGTTGAACTTTGCTGTGGTCGAACTATCACCTGCACAGTCATGTGTGCTCCTAATTAACGCCTTACTTTTTTGTACAAGTTTTATGACTAAATTATGTATGTAATTATGTAAACCGAGCTTTTATATGTTCTAATACCATTTTATATGTGTATCTTTTTTGTCCTGGAAGCTTTACCATTATTTTCCAACTTTCTTTGGAAAACTTTTTTTTTTTTTTTTTTTTGGGGGGGGATGGGTGTGTCCTTGTTGGAGAGTGCGGGGCTGTTTTTGCTGCTTGTGTGCGCAAAAGATAAGATATGAAAACATTTAAAACCCCAACCACGTATCAAAGTTTGTGAAAAGTAATGCATATTAAACCACTCATATGAAATGCAGCTCTGTGGTTTATTTATGCTGTAAACTATAAATGTCTGTGGAAATACGCTGCTTCTAAGTGTAGCTTTGATAAAATGGAGACACTCCACTCCAAAAATATAAAAAATAAAGACTGTTGCACAGAACATAAATGCTTGAGGCAGTCTGCATACAAAGCTGACATTTGTCTCAAACGAGTTTTGTTATTTTGACCCTTAATAAACTTGTACTGGTTTTGTAGGCAGCCACTGGTTGCTAGGGAAAATGTGTCTTAATGACTGCATGCAATTCATCTGATCATTATTAGATTTTGTGGTTGCTCATAGCTTGCACGGAAGATGACGTTTTCAGTAAGCATTCACAGCTACTCATAAAGCAGAACTATTTAGAGGTGTTGCCTGAGCACTATGGCTAACATGTGTTAAATGTCAGCTTCACTCAATTTTATTTCAGATTTTGTGGCAATCTGCTCGTAACAATCGCAAGGAGGTTTTCAACAACCAGTTGAGGGATAGCCTCTTTCCCCTTGCAACCAATGGTCGTATCAGGTCCAATGTGTTATGTATGATGGTGCCCTATTGCTAAAAGTAGCTAATAACTTAAGTTGTCCTGTGAAAAAATTTATATTGACAAGCTTAACTGCCGATTCCAAGTCACCCATGAAAAATAGGGCTAATTTGTTTTAAAAAATTCTTTATAGCTGAATGAGCAAAGGACCTTTGCAAAAAAGTTCCAAAAATATTTAAATTTGTCTTCCATACATTATCTGGCATTGTGACTTAAATGTGTTACTGGTAAGTGAAATGGTATGGAGAGTTTTATTTAAATTGGTTGGCTAAAGCTAGCCAAAAGTGCGAATAACTGATTAAAATAATCAGAAAAGAGATAAAGCTACCAAAGGCGTTGGCTAAAGATGACAGCTAATAGATTTGGTGAAACTAAAGCTTCATAGTTGACTTAATTTAAAAAAAAAATCTTTTCAAAAGTATTAACAGCAGTGATTTAACCTCTAGCTAAAGGTAATGGGGTAGACAACTGATTTTTATTTGACTGAAAAAGTAAACCATGAGCCACTTGGTTAAAATATACCAAAACAAAGCGTATAAATTGCTACAGTCGTTTTAATTTTCAGAGTTTCCCACTGAAATTGAGGAATTGGTTTGCTAAAGAGTGGTTAAAGGACCATTTTTCTCAAAGAATGAAACTTGTATTGAGGTTCATGTACAAATGCCTAGAAATGATCAGTATCACCTGGTTTAGCTAGAAGCAGTAGAGCTAACAGTCTGCTAAGTCTTTAAACCGTTTAAGTGACTCAAAGAAGTTTATGTGAAATCGTCAGGTCTGTGTTTTGTTTTCAGTTGGTCGTCTTGTTTTTACTTTAACAATTAGGTTTACACTTACACAGGATTAAATCATTTTTTTTAGCATGTTAAATGATGTGTATTGTATGATTCACCTGAGTGACTAAGACTTCGGCTGTAGTGTTTACCCTCTGTGCACATCCCGGGCTTTATTTTAATGCTGATTTGCAGGTTCCAGGGTGAGGCAGCTTGTTTGTGATATGTGGAGAAGTGCTTTTTCTAAATCCACCCCCAGGCTGTTAAACACAAAGTCAAGTAAAAACTTGCCAGGCATTACAATAAATTTTTGTCCTTGTAGTAGTTGAGACTTTGCCAAAGGTTCAAATTCCTCTGCTGTCCGATCTTCCTTTTATTTTATTTTTTTTCTGCTTGTATTGTGTTTTACACCCTTTGTCCAGTTTTGTCCTTGAGATTTCAGCTGCTGTGTTTTGTATTCCATTTCAAACCACACCTTTCTGGGATCTGTATTGTCATCCTGGCTACTTGCTGTACCTTCAGGTGCTTATGCTGACCTTTTACTTGTGTGACCAAAAAGTGATCCCCATATGGTGATAATTGCATAAAGGTGTTTGGGTGTGTCTGAAGTAGATTATTCCAGACAGTGGACTGGTTCATTTCTGAAGGAAACTTGTTACAGGCCAGTGACATGTTTCCCAAATCACCAGCTCACATAAAAATAGACGAATCGACACCTCTGTTCAGCTACCAGCTGCTTTAAATCCTTAGTCAATAAATCTAAGTAATCTACAGTGTTCACTGCCAAAGAGACATTTTTGATATGCTTGAGATGCGACTGTAGTGGTTTACTTTTTTTTTTTCCCCCCTTGCATGCAAAAGATTCCTTTCTCGAGCCACAAACTCGCACTGGGAGGGAAGGGGCACGCCTGGATACATGGGAGGGTTGCACCAGGAAGCGTATTTGGAGTGAATCTGTGCCAAAATCAGACATGCAGGCATGGATGACATACTTTATTAATCCCAGAGGGGGAAACTAAATTTAATAGTAGCCACTTCACAAAAACAATGTAGGTCAATGATACTCCCCAAAAAGAAAAGCAATTATAACAATTGGACTAAATGGAGACTAAAGTAAACATGATGGGAATACAAAGGGAGTAAAGATGGGCCATTGGCTCCACCCTGCACACAGTAAACCCTGCGCCGCCCCAGGCAATGTAAGTGTATTTGTTTGCATGATCAGTTGATGGTAACTGAAATGAATCATAGCTATTGGTAAGAAAACATTTTAAAGCTTAACTTCTGAATTATGTATTCCTAAGGTGTTTCATTTGGCCCGCTGCCTTTTGATTTTGGGATAACTGTTCAGGTGAGTCGATTTGATTCCCTTTCTAAAAATGTGAATATCTGACACACTTCTCACCACAAACCAGCTGCTCCTATTTATGGTGTCCCCATGGCAAGTTTTTAGCTTTAAATCCAAACGCAAACTCGTGTGAGCTGCCCAGGCACATTAATCTTTAGTTTTTTATGAGCAGTTAGAGGACCATCATCCCTCCTTGAAAGAAGCCTTTAAATACAAAGTCGACCTCATAACAGATTTCATGAGCTTGTTTGCGTGTTTCCCGACTTCCCGGTTTAATTTCTTTCCATATTGCAGCACATGACTCATTGTTGGGCTGCTGGTATTTAGTCAGTGCCTCCTCCCTTCGTCCTTTTCCAGCAGATTCCCACAGTTCTAAATCTGAGCCTTGTGAGGTTTTTTTTGTTCCCCAAATTGTCCTGCCCCTCCGGTGCTGTGCAGTTGACATGTTGGTACTGTAAACAGTACCCACCCCACTGCTGCTTTTGCAACAACAAAAGAAACGTCCTCATTTAGCTCTGCATTCATTAACATAGACTCAACACCTTTCAATATACTCTGTCCAACTAGTATGTGCTTTGACCTCGGAGTGGAAAATCACAGGTCCACAGCCTGCAGCTTTACTCCGTGAGCGATAGAGGGCAGTGTAGGACTGAGGCTCAACTTCGTTAGTAATGTGGCACATCTGACTGCTCAAAAGAGTGTTCCTTCATTATTAAAGAACAGCCTGCTAACAAAATCCATTTTAAATTTGGGCAGTTTGGTAAAAAGCAGAACTGCCTGTTGTTTTTAAAGTGTTGGAACTTCTTGTACAAGGTGCCTATGCTCCTCAGAGTCTGCAAATCCCTCAAATGATCACATTGAACATTTATAGATAGCATGTTAAAGTAAATATAGGTGTTTCCCTAACCTTCTTCACATTCCTTAAATTAATTAATACTGTTCCTAGGTATCACACAGGGAAGTATCTGAATTATGCTGGACCAAAGAGGATTTTCAGAGTTGTGCCTTGTTTTCTAAAAGTATTGTAGCTCGGATATAGATTTATAAAGTAATTACATTTTAGAAAGGATGACTCGATGTGATATATTTAATAGCTGAGAATAAAGAGATTACAGTTCAATGCTAAATGGTTTCTAGGCTTGAAATGCATGCAGCTTATTATTGTTAATTCAGAGTAAATGTCCTTTGAAACATCCAGCCATTGTGTTCAAAGCACTTGTATAGTGGTTACAAAAAAACCCCAGGAAGTTCCTTGTTATTTAATTATTACATTACTTAATAACTCTGTGGCATCAATGGCCATAAAGATAACAAATGTCCGCCTTCACATTTTCTAAAGCTGACCATCAGGAAGAATTGGTCCAGAGGCTGATCTTTAAACTGTGTGTTCTCCAGCTGGCAGTAAGACCACCAGTCATATGCTGATGCATCACCTCAAGTGAACGACTGTGCTGCTGTGACTGGGCACCCTCTGACTCTGAAACGCTATATATAACACGCCTTACCTCAGCTTTGTTTTCTATAAACATGTGACTATGTGCATGAGTTGGCTCCGTGAAGGTGGAGGAACTGGTTGGATTGGAGAGGAAGTCTTGCAACACATCTCGGCAGTCTTGGTTATATCCTGTCACCATCACTAAACAAACAAACCTACCATAAGAAAGTTCTCAAATGTATCTGTCAAATTTGATGCAAGAAAAATAAAACTGTGGTCCTATAGCTACTTTTTACTGAAGGTGCTGTATTTGATAAGTTGTTTCTTTCCTCCTGCTGTTAACAGGACCTCCAGGTTTGACTACATTCACATGTTTGATTAGTTGTCCTTTTATATGAAAGCTTCTTGATACGGTAATTAAAATCTTGGTTGTATCCTAATACAGATTTATTTATTTTAAATTAAAAGTTAATGTTTACCTCTACTACATATACAAACTGCCACATGACATGAGCTCAGGGGTGTAACCGAAACTGGCTGGGGCAGGTTTGTGGTTGTTTTCTCTGTACAAAGTTGTGGATGTGATGAGAGAGAGCGCTATCTTTTTTCTTTGTAATTTCTTTGTAACTGAAACATCAGAACGCATTGTTACAGTGCTCATGCCACAACACCCCCCGCCACCATGACATATTGGACAATAAAAAGGAGGGAACTAGTGACCTGAAGGGCGTGAGTCAATGCAGCAAGGCAGATGATGCTTAGTCATCACGCTAGTTATGCAATTGCTTTAGGTGAACACTCTAATTGTGATTGGTTACTCATCATGAGATGTTTTATTAGCTTAATCTGGAAGATTTTGTCTGCAGCTACATGTTTGTTGTTC